AGGTCCCCAGTGGAAGAGAGAGAGAAGAAAAGTCCATCCTCCATGTCCATTATATTGGGAGCAGGCCACACCCCCAAGAAAGCATCCCTTTAATTGATTGGCTACTCATAGACAATCACAGAGTTATCTATTCCTTTATTAGGTTTCATCACCATGGGAATAAACACATCTCAACCACTAAGCTCTGGAAATCCTGGCCTAGTCAAGCGGACACAGAACCCTAACCATTACAAACAACAGCAACAACATGTCACCTCCTCCCTTTTTATGTTATTGATGTCATTCATTAAATCTTTATATATCATATACCCAGAATCATGGACTAAAAACCACAAGGTCAGCAGTTCAAACCTACCATCCGTGCCTCAGAAATCCTTTACAGGGTTTCTATGAGTCAGAACCGACTCTGTAGCATGTTAACAACTATATATATCTATAGTTATTGTTAAGGGCTGTTGAGCTGGTTCTAACTTGTAATAACCCTGACTAGAGTTTCCTAGGAATAGCTGGTGTTTTTGAACCACTGACCTTATGGTTAGCAGTCCAGTGCTTATCCTACAATGCTACACCATGTATATCATGTTGTTGTGTTGTAATGTGCTGTGGAGTCAGTTCCGACTCATAGCGACCCTGTACAGGGTTTCTGAGGCTGTAAATCTTTACGTGAGCAGAAAACCTCATCTTTCTCCCACAGAACAGCTGGTAGTTTTGAACTGCTGACCCTGAGGTTAGCAGCCGGATTCGTAACCACTATGCTACCAGAGCTCCTTTGTATTTATATTCTACATGATATACAACAAATATATTTGTAACTATATTTGTTGCATATCATGTATAATATAACAAATATAGTTACAAAGTGTAAATTATAGCAAAACTGGCTTTTATATTTGCCTTTTAAATTGTCTTTACCAAGGTCTTTATTTCTTCAAACAGTTTAGGGTTACTATCTAGACTTCTGGTATGACGCTGTAGGATCAGCACTGGACTATGAACCACAAGGTTGGTGGTTCAAACCTACAAGACATATGAGCCAAAACACAAGTAGATATGTGCACACCAATGTTCATAGCAGCACTATTTACAATAGCAAAAAGATGGAGACAGCCTAAGTGCCCGTCAACTGAAGAATGGATAAACTGTGGTTCATAAACATAATGGAATATTATGCTACCTTGAAGAATAACAAGAACGCTGCAAGCCACCACATAACATGGATGAATTTTAAGGACATTATGTTGAGTGAAATTAGTCAGTCACAAAAGGAGAAATACTGCATAGAACCACTATTGCAAAAGACTAAGAAAAAGAACCCATACTAAAGGGGGTGGTGGTGGGATACTTTTCTGGTTATCAGGGTGTGGTTATTGGGGTGAGGGGAGGGAGGGGAATGTGGAGCACAGGGTAGGGTATAGACACAGGATAGTATGGGTGCTGGGGAGGGGCACAATACACAAATATGGGGAGGGGAATGGAAAAGCAAGGCAGATGGGAGAACGATTAGGCAGGTTTGCATGGCCTAAGTGGGACAGAGGTAAATAATGATGTATGCACAACCTTGGAACAACAGGGCTCTGGGATACAGGGACTGAATCATGGTTGGAAAAGGCAAAAGGCTGGAGCAATGTTATGTTGCTTGACTGTCTTTTGAATCTTGGTTTCCCTTGCATACCATTATAAAATAGACAGTTGATGGGGAGAGAAAGGAATAGCCAGAAATACCACCATAGAAAGCTTGTAAATCTGTCTTCAGCCTATAACTGATTGGAGTACCTAAAATGGGGCTACAACATGCCCAGTGAAACTTCTTGTGGAGCTTCTGCATTACATAAGACCATTGGTGGAATCCTGAACCCCATCCAGAATTTTCTGAGGTGGGAAATTTCCACATGAAAGGACAAGGCCAACCTGGGGTGTCTAGAAGAACAGAAGATACTTCTTGAAAGAAAGACCAACAGGAAAAACACAAAACAATAATGGCAGTACGACTGACTACTACAAGAACAATCAAGTTGCTTGCCCAGGACACATCAAGGCAAGTGGTCGGGTCCCATCAGGGCAAACACCCTTCTAATACTAAGACTCAATAGGAATACACGAGCAGACATGTGCTCTGACTGGAGACCCCGTTGGTCACCGATAAGGGGAAGTGAGGGAAAAACAGCAATGAAGCTGCAAGGTAAGCCCTACCACGTTCAATAGACTCCTGTGAACCTGGGTGGAGACCTGGTTGGCCAGCAGTATGGTAAGACCTGGGGACTCCTGGGCCAGGAGTCAGTGACATAGCCACAGAGGACTAGAGTGGAGAGTGAAGCATCCAGCTGATAAGAAGTGAGGGCATATGTACAAGAACACACATACTTGCAGATAATATCCACTTGACCTGGCTTCATTGGCTGGATGATCAGAACCCAACTAGAAGAAGAAAGAAGAAGGAAAAAAGAGTAACTGACACAATTAGATGAACTTGACCTACACCTATGGATGCAGTAGCTCAAAAGAGGGAATAAATCTTTACAGCGAGGATCATTCCCATCACCTTGATACACAGAGTAGACAGGGATGGGCAACTTGGACATTGGCTACCCAAAATGTTGTTGCTGTTGTGAAGTGCCATTGATAAAAAAAGAAAACTACCCAAAATGGGGGCTACAAAAGCAACAAGTGACTGGCTTACAAGCTTTCAAGACGGAGCCTAGATCCAGAGGCCTCAGAGGAAGGTATAGTCTCCACTGAGTAATATCCAATCTGTCTGCGTGGGGCTGATGAAAGAAGATGGAATGGCACTCCTGTGGCCCAATAGTGAATAATTGCTATCAGGACTGGCTGTGAGGGTTGGAAATACAAAGGTAGACATTTTGAAGCAAAACGAGGAGAGTGGTTGACTTTGCAGTCCAGGAGTGGAGGTCCCTGGAATCATCAAGGGAGAAGAGCAGAATGCGGGACCCTACCCAGAGAAACAGTGACACCAAAGATGGAGGCAGCAGGAACGATGAGGTGGAGAGATGGAGCGGCTGGGAACTCTAGACCTAGAGAGGGAGAGGGGCTGTGTGCTGATGACCAGGGGGGATGCTTGCAGGGTATATACCCTTTGGTTGGTTGATGATGCATGGAGGGGACTGTAACCATGGCAATGAAATGATACATGATAGGATGAATGTAAAGCTAATGTTCTCCCATGTAAACTATCACATAATTCACAATAAAACATTAAAAAAAAAAAATAATACAGCTTCAGAAACCCTATGGAGTAGTTCTACTTTGTCTTACGGGGTCTCTGTGTGTCATAATCCATTTGTTGTACACATCAACAACAACAATAACAGGAACCTTTAAGTGTGCTAATTTCCAAAGGAAATTGTCTCCCTGGAGTGTTTACCCTTTATTGTCCCGGGCAGCCATTGACTGATTTCCTCAATTTGCATTTAATGCCCAAGTTATGCCTGGTGTTCTTCTCCCAAGCAATCTCCAAGACTGATGAAACAGAGAAGATCACTTCGTTTTTGTCTGATTAGTGCAGGTAAACATCATAGTCCGTTAATAAAAAGCTCACTGTTCACCCTAGGGGATGAACTAGAGGCCCACTTCCAAAGCTGGAAATGAACCTGACACTTCTAGCCAGCTGCAGAATGAGGGTGGTGGTGGTGGTGGTGGTGGTGTGCTTTGGAGTGTGTTGGACTCATAGCAACCTTCCATAGGGTTTCTGAGGCTATAAATCTTTATGGGATCAGAAAGCCTCATCTTGCTCCCTTGGAACAGCTGGTAGTTTGGAACTGCTGATCTTGAAGTTAGCAGTCATACTCAAAACCACTGCACTACTAGAGATCCTTACTAGAGAGTAGAGGTGGTATTTAAGTCAACGAGGAACCAGTTGCTGGAGAAGGATATCATTTTTGGTAGGGTGGAGGGTCAGAGAAAAAGAGGAAGAACCCCAGTGAGATGGCTTGGCAAAGTGGCAGCATCAATGGGCTCAAGCATGGCAACGATAGTGCGGTTGGCCCAGGATTGGGCAGTGTTTCGTTCTGCTGTGCATAAGATCACTATGAGTCAGTACCGACTCGATGGCAACTAACAACAACTACAGAGAAAGGGTGTGTGTGTGTGGGGGTTCTCTAAACCCTCCTATCATTCTGCATGTCTTCACCTTGCTGCCGTAATCTCCCAGTTGTAAACCAGGATTCTAACAAGGCTAGCAAAGTATTGTTTTCACTTTTTTAAAAATACTTTTTCTGTATGAGAAGTGGAGAGTGGAGGTTCCTACTATCCCATCTTGATTCCAGTATTTGTCTCAAGATGAAAATTATTTTCATAGTTTTTCTCTTACAAAGAAAGTTCAAGTAAAGGATATTTAACCTATACATTTGTATGTTTTCTTATGATATTTTCTTATTTATTTAATAAAAATCAAGTTGAAGGTTTTAGAATAACCAATCGAAAATAAGGTGATTAATGTAATACGAACTTGATTAAAGTTTTCATTTGGTCTGAATGGTATGTTTCCATATGGTATGAATGTAGGAAAAATGGAAGTTGTCAAAAATGAAATGGAACCCTTAGAGATCAGTATCCTAGGCATTACTGAGCTAAAATGGACTGGTGATGCCCATTTTGAATCTGACTATCA